TAAAATTTCTGCTTTACAGGATTTATATTAACTTGAAATTACAAGTTGTCCTCTTACTGTGTTTTTCTTACATCATTAAAAGCGGTTCAATTAAGTTTCTTGATATCATACGTCCTCACGTACACATTTAAGTTCAACATTTAAACTTAATTTAACTTCCATTTAAGTTTAATTAAAATAAACTATTGCTTGGAAACAAATTAGATGATTAAGTTCAGTTTTCTTTGTAATTTAAAGTTGGAATAACTTAATTTGATTGCGTGTTACCAATTGAATCAATTTAAAGTAGTACCAACAATTTTATTGTTCCTTCTTTGGTTCTGGTTCCACAGAGAACCAAAACCAGCCTGGGTTCAGGAAGTAGAACCCCCTCTCTAACTTTAAAATCAGACCTTCCTTTCTGATAAAGCTGATAGTTACAGATAGTCAGAGACCCTGAAACACCCCATAGTTCTGCTGGGGGGCTCCCATGATGCACCTCTCCTCCCTCTGGGGGGCTCCCATGATGCCATGTTCTCAGATAGCTCGTTCCAGCTTCAGTTTGAATAACTCCTGACATTTTATCCTGGCCGATCTGATTCAGTCTGAGGGTTAGAGGAGCAGCATCCTGAGCCCAAAGCTGCCCTCCATATGAGGCATTCCAGGGACTCACAGCCTGTAGTAAATACTGCCGCTCTGGCGTCGTATTAATGTTCCACAGAGCTGCTCCTGGCCTTTAATTAAGGAGGAAGTCACGCTCGGGCAGCAGGAAGGTGGATCTCTGCTGCACGGCTTGGCGGCTACAGAAAGATCGCTTTACGGGGGCACAAAGGGCCGGCGGCGGCTGGAAACCAGAGAGGCTGAGAAACGTCTGGGAATGCTGGAAAAGTCCAGTTCAGGCAGCTGGAGGTGAAGTTTTCCTCTGATCCAAGAAGCTACTCCAGCTCTAACTGATGGTGGAGCTCTGAGGTTAATATACTGTAAGTGGAACTAAGGAATTAGGGGAGAAACCAAAGGTGGCTCTGGGGGGGGTTAATGGTGGTTAGGGGGTTCTGATGGGTCGGTAACTCCCTGTCAGAGTGGTTTGGGTCACATGTTTGAGGAGTGAGTCAGCTGAATCTGCTAGTTGTTGTTCCTGAAAGTGCTCTTCTTCTGGTGACAGCTTCTGTCTGAGACCAGCTCCTCTGCCGAGTCATGGTTTCTCCAGGTTAGTCTGGGTTCAGGAAGCAGACTAATGCCAGCTCACCTTGATAGACGCTGATCAAAACCCAAACCAGGAAGGTCTTGAAGGACAGAGAGCGGCCCTGAAACAGAGAGCAGGAGTCCGTGAGCAAACGGGACGCCGGCCGGCAGAAACGAGAGTGGTGGTGGCGGTGGGAACCTTGGTGAGGTCTTTGTAGAGCTCTGGGTAGAGCAGCGCCATCTCGGGCTTCACGTCCTGGTCCAGAACCAGAGAGAAGACGGGGAACATGGTGTAGATGGTGGCATACCTGCAGACACAGAAATTATCACCTGCTGCCTCCACTCTGCTGGGATTACTAAAGAAACCCCAACTTTTTAATGGAATCAAGTAAAAACAGCCATTTTTTGGTTCAAAATGAACAAAAAGCCTCATGTAAGGCTTTTCTCTGTATTATTTACTGGTGATTGGACCATATAATCCATATAATCTTAAATCATGGATGCACCATTCCAGATCAAATCAGTGCATCTAGGTTTATGTGACATATAAAAGTAAATAAATATAAATATATTGCTACAAGACAAATGAGGTGAGGGAAGATTTGACTTAAATCTGATGTAAATGCTGATTGTATTGTGCATTATGTTTAACTGTCTTTTGCACCAATAAAAACGTAAAATGTGGTAAACAAAAGTGGTAAAAAGGGATAAAATGTCACTAAAACAAGCGTCAGTTCATCATTTCGGCTGCTGGAAGATGAAATTAAACCCTATAAAGCGACTTAAAGCGTTTTTTAAAGCAACAGGAAGACAGAAAAGAGGCACACTGGTCCTTTCTGAGGCAGAAGCAGCCTCATCGGGCTCTGGACGGCCCCCGGCTTACGTACCCCACCATCAGGAAACCCTGGTAAAGTGGCACGGAGGCAAAGTAGAATACGGAGGAGAAAACAGCCTGCGGACACAAAGCAGACACAAAACAGTCAGGAAAAAACAACTCAACCGGCAGTTCTCTCTGTTTTGAAACAGTTCCTGATTTGGCTTTTAAAAAAGACGCTCAGCGCCTGTTTTTAATGATCTGACTGAGCTTAAAAAAGTGCACCAAAACCATCTGAGCTGACACTGAAAAGCACTGCCATGCTCAGTGAGCTGCTCCAGCAGCTGGAACGTTAAAGAAAGGCCTCAGATTTGAGCTTATAGGGAAACCTGACAGGTGCTGCAGTGCTTTGTGCTCCGCTGATCGAAATGTCCCATAAAAGCTTTATAGACATTAACCCCCCCCCCCCATGGGCCTGAGTGTGGAATTTAATTTCTAATTAAATTAATTACTTATTGAATTATAATTAACTATCATTTATAATTATTATAGATAACTGTAAAATATTCTAAATAATTATTCTAAAAATATAAATAAATACAAATAATTATTTGTGTTATAAATACTAAGTTATATGTTTATTATTATTGATTGCGGTTCTTATTTATTTAGTTATAATTAACTATCATTTAAAATTATTATAAACAACTATGAAAATATTCCAAATAATTATTTTCTATAAATAATAATCATAATAAATATCATAAATAAATAAGATAATTATTTAATAATAAACTTATTATATTTTTTATATTATATATTATTATTATTTATTATTCATGTGCAGTCCTTTTTTATTTAATTATAATTAACTATAATTAATAACTATAAAAAGTATTCTAAATAAATAGAATACAAATAATAATCATAATACATTATTCAAATATTAGAAATATTACCTGCATGGTGGAGATGATCATGCCTCTGTGCATCACGAACTGGCCGAGCGCGGCCGAGCGCTTGTAGCTGTTCCTGCCGTGGACCATCAGCAGCCGGCCGATGTGCCTGAACTGCGTGATGGAGAAGTCGGCCGCCAGCGAGGCCTGCTTGCCCTCCTGCTCCCGGCCACAGAAACACACGGGGGGGGGGGAGTCAGAATACAGCAGAACCTCTACCTACCATCGCCTAAACATACGAATTTTACAGCATCTGAAGTGAAATTCGATCAGTTATTCGGCTCGACACCTGAAGTAAATTTCCAACATATGACATTGAAGTCATAGAGAAAAAATAAATAAATAAAAATCTAATTAAAACAAATAAGCTAAGTTAGTTTAAAGTTCAGGGAGTGAAAGTTAGAGTAAGTTAGGGTACATCCTGTATCTCAGTCTCCACCTCTACCTCCACTCAGTCTCTGAGGTAATGTGCCAATAAAAACCCCTTTTTATTGGTTATTTCTTTATCATTTATTTAATTTTACATCTCTCTTATATAATGCATTTGTTTTATTGCCATGTGTAATTATCTGCAGTATTTAATAAGGAGTTATTGTAGGTTTTTGGGCCGTGGAACGAATTATAGGAATGACAGTGTATTCTGATGGAACATACATAAGAATTTTTTAACATAAAAAGTTGGTCCTGGAAGGAGTTAAAATCGTATGTAGAGGTTCTACTGTAGTTCTAAAAGCAATAAGAAAATTAGTCCTCTCATATTTTCTCTACATGTTTGTCTCTAGTTATAGATTTTTGATTAATGGACGATGGTCTTCCTTAAATATGAAATGATGTTGTATTTATTCATTAAATATGTCCTATGAACAACTGTCTGCTCTCATTCCATGAAGTTTACCTTTTTAATAAATTTCTCTCTCCTAATTCCTCAGACTCTTTGCTTAGAAATAAAATAAAAAGTCTCCTTAAAGTCCCTGAAAACAGGCAGTTTTCGCCGTTTCTTACCTTTCCTTCGATGCCAATGCCGCAGTCTGCCGCCTGGATCATGCTGACGTCGTTTCCTCCATCACCTGTTGGAGAAAACACATTAACCTCAGGGCGCCGGCCGCTCGTCGCCCCCTGGTGGACACATGGAGGAACTTAAGGGATTAAAGAGAGGCGGCCCAAGAGGGTCAGGGGTCAGGAAGCAGCTCGGAGGCATCCAGACATCTGGACTGATGTTTAACAAAGTCCAGCAGAGAGAAGATGACGATTCATGAGAAAAATCCAGATTAAAGTCTCAGAAATTAGATTTTACTGCAGAAAAAACGGAATAATGACTTACTATCTGAAGTCTGTTTGCCTCTGACTGAATCTATTTATGTTTTTACTTTTATTCCAATTAGTTTCATATTTTCTGACTTTTTACTATAAAGCAACACACAAAAACATTAAGTATTCTGCACTTATCTAGAAATCTGAGTGAAATGCGTTAACCGGCGCACAGGAGCCGCAAATAAGCTCATAAACATCAATGTTTGTTTGTGTTTGGATCATTTCAGACATTTTAAACAACATTTAGATAAAAAAAAAAACTTTCTTAAGTAGAATCACTGTCCACATCTGAGCATTTTTGGCCATTTATAATCAAATTCTATAGAAATTCCAGGACATTATGCTCAGAATTTGGCTCAAAGGCGTCAGATTGATGCCTTAAATCAGACATTTGCAGCATATAATACATATATAATGTATCTATGGGCTCTCACCGATGGCACAAGTCCTGTTGGCCGTGTGCTGCTGCAGCAGGCTGACGATCTGGGCCTTCTGGGTGGGTGAGCAGCGGCAGCACACCACCGCCGGGCACTGGCACGCCAGCTCAACAAACTCATGCTCGTAGTACCTCAGACACACCTGGTCCAACACAGGGAGGAGACGCAGAGCTCAGGTTTGGGGGTTTCTGCTCAGAGCTGCTCTCTGGCCTGGCTCCAGACTCTGGAGACCCTGTGAGGATTTAACTAAAAAGTCCTAAAAAGTCTTAAAGTTTCTCAGAAACCAACAGTGTGCCTTATATATGGATCAAGGTTGAGCCAAAACTCCAGGAAGCAGCCCCCCGACTCCATTTTCTCCCATAGAAGAAGTAGCGCATGGTGCATGCTGGGATATAGGACCGCGTGCATTTGCATTTCATTTGTGTTTCTCTTGTGTGTTTACAGCTGAACACGGTTGGTCATACTGTGAAAATGGACAATAACATTTGAACAACGTTGAGTTATAGTTGTATTGTTATTGTTTTGCAGTATTTCCAGAGTTCCTATACTGTGCTCGCACTAAAGTCTGATTCACCGTAACGCTATCAGACTGGTTTTTACGTGATAAAAACGTTGCACAACCTATTAAACATTGTTATTATTTAAAGACAAACTGTGTGGCGAAAATACTACGTCACTGACATTAGCTAAAATAATAAAGCAGCTGTTTATTCATTTTGGGAGTGAACGGAGTCGTCAGAATGCTGGTTTGTTCTCTATTAATAAAGTCTGACTGACTTATCTGACTGTTTTGTTGACATTCTAGTGGATGCAGAATGCCGCCCAGCCACTACTGGAGCCTCTACTCATATGCGCCTTATAATGCGGTGCGCCTTATATATAACTTTTTTAAATAGGCCATTCATTGAAGGTGCGCCTTTAAATCTGGTGCGCCTTATAGTGCGAAAAATACGGTACTCTAACTTTCACTACGGGAACTTTAAACTAACTTAGCTTATCTATTTTTATATTTTTTTCTATGACTTAGACGTAAGTTGGAAATTGACTTTACTATTCAGGTGTCAAGTCAAATATTTGATCAAATTTCACTTTAGATGTTGGAAAGTTATGTTTAGGCAATTGTAGGTGGAGGTTGTGCTGTACCTCTAAGGAGTCTCCAGAGATGACCAGGGCGCAGTCGTGCTTCCTCCTGAAGGCGTTGAGCTCAAGATGGGCCTCTCCTCGGTTTGAGACCTGCTCGAGAGCCACAAAACACGATTATCCACAGGAAGGCCAAGGCCTGCTCAGCCTCTGGGGGCGGCGGCGGGGGCGGGGCGGCGCACCGGTCTGAAGACGTGGATGTCCTGGCTCCTGGAAACCAAGTGGGAGCTCTTGGCGATGCAGGTGGCCGTCTCCAGTTTGTCACCGGTCAGCATCCAGATCTGAGAAGAAAACGGGATGAAAACAAATGAAGACCTCTGAGGATCAGCTGGTTACAGACACATATTAAATTAAATTGATGCTAATTGATCTGGGAATCGCATGAATCGCTAAAAGAAACAAAGAAATAAGAAATAAATCAGAATATCTAAAGATTTAACTTTAAATTGCTTTCTGCCTCCTGAACCAGCTCTGATTTCCACTAAATGAGCTCTGTTCCAGTAGATAGAAGTTGAAACATGTGTTCAGGAGGTGGAAACAGGTTTATTTCAGAGCAAAAATAGACTCAGTTTAACCCGAGAGGACAGAATGAGGCTTAAAGTTTCTCATTGCTCAGTTAGGGTTAGAATCCTCTGAAAATAGTAGCTGATTTCACACTAAAATTATGGAAAAATGTTAGTTTTTACACAAGAAGCTGAAATAATCCCACTGATTTATTTGGGAAGCAGATAAATTACTAAAAGAAATAAAAATAAAACAGAATATCTCCAATTTAAACTTTGGATTTCTGCTTTTTCCCTCAAGAAACGGCAGTGATTCTGTGAGTTTGCAGCCACCTTGATGCCGGCGTTCCTCAGCAGCTCCAGCGTGGGCCGGACGTCTGCCTGCAGCTGGTCCTCCACGCCGGTCAGACACAGGAGCTCCATCTCCCTCTCCAGGCTCTCCACCACCGCCGCCACCTTCAGCCCCCGGTCGTGGATGCTCAGCTTGGCCTGGTTGTAGCGACTCTGCACATCGAAGGAGGAGGAAAATGAGAATAATGATGCTTTGAAAGGCTGCAGAAGACGTCAGACTGCACAGATTTCATGCCTCTTAAGCCAAATCATCTGATCCACAGCTTGAACACGGACCAAATCTGTAGAAATGTCAGCAAAAATTGTCTTTTCTGAGGCAGCTAAACACTTTGAATGTTAACGGAAGGAGCATTAGCCTCTTTTTTTAGGTCATTAAATGGATCCGTTCAGACTTTTTTAATGGTTTTGGAAGCTAGGTGTTCATTACAAAAACTGCCTAAACACAATTATTATTGAGGCAAACAGAACTGGGACAGCCGACCTCCTCTAAACGATACTTCTACATGTGGAACTACTCGTTCTACACTGTGCAGATCACCCTTTAGCGCCTTCCCCAAGCAGAGATTTAGGCTTCCCAGGATTTGAGGCAATAGATGGAAGCAACCAGGAGTTTTATACAGTTATTAGTGACTCCTGATGTACTTCGTTAAGTTTAGCATCGTTTATGTTTTAGCTGTTTTTCCTGGTTGAAACGGCTGGCTGCGAAGCAAATTCTCAATTTAAGGGGAAAATAAAAGGAGCTGACATGAATTGAAGAGGGAAACTAATGTTGAGGGGGGCAAAACTGGCTCATAGTTCAGTTTTATCCATCAAATGTCTAATTTATGTCCAACAAGGATCACAAAACGACGTGTGACCTTAAAACTTTATGTTCGCAGTCCAGAATTATTGCTATGCTAAGTTATTGATCCCAAGTGGCCACAGAGAAGATTTAAAAGGTAATAAATGAATGAATAAGTGGTTTAATACCTCAAAGTCCTGGTACTGCTCCTCGGACAGGGACTTTTTGGCCACCACCAGAGTCCTCAGGCCCTCTCGGGCCATATTCCCACACTGGAGGCAGCAGGAAAGAGAGCAGAGAAACACCTTTATTATGAACTACGGGTCTTGGCTGAATCTCCAGGTCAAAAGGGGCAGATGACAGCAGCTGCCCCCTGAACACACTGTGCACAGCGGCGTCAATACGCCAAAAACAAGAGGCGGATCGATAGAGAAAACATCCCCTCTGGTGAGGACAGTAAAACAAAAGGGATGGACGGCGGTTTATTTTTCATATGAAACACCGATAGAGCTGATCGGTCCTGCTGATTGGTTATTGACGGGCAGAGACAGAGCTGCCAGCTGATCAGGCAGCAGGATATTACAGCCAACAGGACATCATTAGCACCATTGTTCAGGATTATGACATACTGTAATTACTCCGACTTTATCTAGGTCACTAATTAAATCAAAAGCTGCCCCCCGGTGCCAAATGACTCAATAATGCCAATATGATTATGAACATATGCACTCAGGACCTTCAGCCGGCGAGCGGCTTCCAGACGAGCTGCTGGTCCCCGAAAAGAGAGGGAAATCCAGCTTTTGACGGGGGTGAAAGGCACACTAAAGTGGCTCATTTCAGGGGAAAATGCAGCATTTAGGGTCTTCAGGCTGGTTCAGGTCAGGAGACAAGGGGGGGGGTTAAAGGCCAATACAGTCAGAGCTTAGTTTGGTCTGGCGGGGTTGTTCCCAGCTGTTGGTTCCCGTCTCTTAGTTTAGTTTCCAGCTTCTGGTTCTTTTAGTTCACGGCTGTTGGCTCAAATCTTTTAGTTCCCGGATTTTAGTTCCCGGCTGTTGGATCTTTTATGTTTTCCGGCTGTTGCTTCAAATTTGTTAGTTCCAGGAGTTCATGCCGGCCTGAAGTCGAGGACAGAATGAGCTCTGAAGCTAAGTTTTTACCTCCTCCTCCAGCCAGTCGTTGTACTGGACGATGGTCGCCATGGCGACATCGGCGCCCTTCATGTAGAAGGTGATTTCCCCCGTCGACTCCTCCTGCAACCAAAACAAGACCGAGCTGAGCAAACCTGAGAAAAGCCGCCAGCAAATCTGACTCCTGTCACTGTGTTAGGTGTAATGTAAAATGTAAAAAGAAATAAATTATAAAGAAATAATCAACAAAAAGGGGATTTATTGGCACTTTACCGCAGAGACTGAATGGAGGTAGAGTTGGAGACTGAGATCCTGGATATACCCAAACTTACTCTAACTTTCATTACCTGAACTTTAAACTAACTTAGTTTATTTATTTTTATCTTATTTTTATATATTTTACTATGACTTCGACGTATGTCGTCTCACCCGCACGATGATGCCCATCCTTTTGCTCTCAGAGGTGAAGGGGAAGATCTGCAGGATGTGGAAGGACAGGATCTGTCCAGAGGGAGTCCTGAGCTGCAGGGAGGCCAGGTCTCTGTTGACCAGGGTCAGGCCCACGCTCTCCGTCCACCGGACCAGGGCCACCTGAGGGGAGACGGAGGGGAGCTCAAACCTTCAATCCCATTCACTCTGAGGCCCTCAAACCCCAATTCAGCTCAGAGAAAACCAGCTCAGAGCCTGCGTTTTCTGACCGCTTTGTAAAGACTCTCAGGATACTCGTTAATACTTAGATTTGAAAAACCTGAGTTCCAGATTTTAGTCGACTGGTTTCAGCTCATCAGCACAAAGTTTCTTTCATTTCTGGATGCTGGAAGCTGATTTCCAGGAAATGAAGCCTCATTCTGGAGCAAACCAGCAGAACTCTGAGTTCTGTGGACTCTAGTTTGGATCAGAGGCTCAGATGTTGATGTGTGATCACAGACAGGTTTCTGTCCGAGTTTAACCAGCAGAACAGGAAGAATCCAGCTGCTTTTCAGCCCAGACAGGAGGAAAACAGGACTCAGAGGCAGGATCTGAGACTACAGGGGGTTAAATTAAGGACAACAGGGACGTTCAGCCTCTTCTGGCTCCGACCGTTTCCTCCTTTTTAGTATCTGAGCCGTCTGATTGGTGGATCCCAGTCATGTGACTTCTAGGCTAAACCCAAAACGATCAGCTTTTGATTGGCCTGATTGTTGTGGACAAAGCTCAGCGGCGCAGAGCGGTACCTCGTCTGGACTGGAGGCCTGGTAGGTGCGGTTCTCGTCGCTGAAGTCCTGGTCGGCCTCGGCGGACTCGGCCTCGCCGGCGTGCGGCTCGTACACCGGCGTGACGTTGTGGCACAGAGCGATGGCCTTCACCGCCTCATGGATGCGGCTGCTGACGCTCTTCCGGACCTTCGGTCCTGAACTTTGGGCCTTCTGAGGAGGGTTGACTCCAGCTGCCCCTTCGCCAGAGGGCTGAGGGGCCACCTGGAAGCACCAGAGAGTAAAAGCTGAAGTCTGCTGAGTGTTCAGGTGTTTTAGCACAACGCCAAGGAGGAAAGACACCAGAGAGATCTGAGAGAAGCTGCTGCGAAACTTAGTCTGAGGCACAGAAAACTGCCTTGTTTTGGCTCAAAAACTCAGTTCAAAGCAGACAAACTGCCTCATTTTGTCTCAAACTCACAGGGAAACTCAATTTAAAGCAGAAAAATAGACTTTCTTAGGCTCAAACTGGCTGAGAAACTCAATTTGAGGCAGAAAAATGGCCTCAAACTCAGACAGAAATTTGGTTTAAAGCAGAAAAACAGACTTGTTATGCCTCAAACTCGCAGAGAAACTCAGTTTCTGCTGTGAACTTCAACTCTTAGCATCAGAGGACCCTCAGCTGTCCTCAGGATCCAACATGGCCGCCCACAGCTGCAGGAAACAGCTGTTCAGCAGCACATCTGTCGGGCTGCAGCTCAGAGGGGTAGAAACACTCTGAGCAAGTTTGGCTGCAGCTTGGCTCAGGTCTGCATGAGTGTTTCTGAGCTAATTCAAAAGACTCCGGTCACATGACCGGACCGCCGAGCCGCTCTGGGTCTTCCGCTTTCTGCTCGGAGACTCTGTCCACGAGCAGGGACGACACACGAGGCTGTGGGCAGATGGCCCCAGCTCCCAGCAGCTGTTTGGAAAACAGTATCATTCTGTCCAGGCTGGGCCGGAGCCGAGCCACCCAGCGAGCAGAGCCCCCCCCCCCCCTCAGCACGAGCCTCTCAGGGGCGATCTGTGATGAATGAACAAAGCGGCTGCACTTCCTGGAACATAGAAACTGATTAAAAGGAGGAGGGGGGGCGGGCAGGAAGGGAAATATGGTACAAATGAGTTTGTTTTACTATGCAGATTGAAAACGGCCCGTTTTTCCTGATGCAGGAAGTGACACGTTTGTGAGTCTGGAGGTGAAAATCTGTGGAAAACGTTTACATTTGTATTCATTTCATGTTTTCGGACTAAATAAATAGTTAAAAAGTCAAACTGGGCCATTCATTCATCACAAGTGATTCCTTAAGAGGTCGTAAATGAAAGCCTCCAATGACTATAAGCTGGTCTTTACCTGTGAGTAGGACTGCACGATGTGGCTCTGGATGTCGTCCATGGTGTCTGTGCCATAGGACACTGTTCCCAGGTGCAGCCGCTTGAATATCATCTCATTCTGAGTCAGCGTGCCTGCGTTCAAAAGGGCCATTCAGGTGTTAGTCTGCAGCTAAATGCGGCTTTTGAAAAGGATAGCTGGTGATTTCAAAGTGGAATTATGACTCAAACAATGGCTACAAATCATTAAGCAACAAATGTCTCCACATATTTGCGCAAAAAGATGGAACTGACCCGTTTCCAGGTCTAATGGGGAGCAAACAAATGGAGGAAAATGAAGGTAAATGTGTTGAAACTCTGCAGTAGAAAGCAAACTCAGAGTTTGTCCTGAGAGGTCAAACCGAACCCCCCCCCACACTGGCCTAATCTGTCCATCTCCCACCAACAGGAATACTTAAAAAAAAGGTTATAAATGAGGGCAGTGGCCTCGTTTAATGGATGCTCAGGGGCAGAATGAGTGCTGATGGAGCCTGAAGCCGATTAGAGGGCATCTAACTTCCAGAAACATTAAATGGATGGATTGTTTCCATGTGCTTTAACTACCAACTCCGATAAACAGGCTAATAAAAAGGCTAAAGCCGATCTATTGCTTTCCGAATCAGCGGCTTTAGACAGAGGAACAAATTAGAGGCTTCACAGGATTTTATCACTTGGGTGTGAGTAAAGAGCTCCTGTTTGTAAAGTAAATTCAACCTTTGGCACAAAGTTGGATGCTAACACGCTCTGAATGAACAGGAAAAAAGAAGGACTTTTTAGCATTTATTGTAACATTGAGAAATAAAACAGAAAAAATGAGGATGTTTTAGTCTCCTGACTTCCCCTGAGGGCTGAATAATGTGTGATGGACCTTGTTGTTGATTCTTGCGTGCTCTTTAATCTAAAAATCTAGTGAAAGGATCAGTTTAAGAAGCTTTGCGAGGCCCTACCCGTCTTGTCTGTGAGCAGATAAACGAGCCGGCCCAGTTCCTCTGGGATGGTGCTGGTTCTGACGACCGTTCCCGGGATGTTCTCGTCCTTGGTGATCATCCAGGCGTAGGCCGACTTCCCCATGTCCAGGTTGACACGCAGGCTGCAGGAAAACACAGCTTCAGCCACTGTTCTGCTGCCCGGCCCCGGCCCAAACCCTCCGCTCACCTGATGGGGATGATGTAGGAGAAGAGCACCACGAAGCGGAACAGGTTGCGAAACCAAGGGCCCACGAAGCCCTGCAGCGCAACCATGACGACCGACAGCACCACCTGGGCCAGGAACAGGGCTTTGGTGAGGCGGTTCAGCTCCAGGTCCAACAGGCCAACCTGAGGAAAAGACATCAGGATGGATGAGGGTTAAGTCCAGCCAACTCTGTTAGCATCCATCCAGCAGCTAAGATTGAGTCACAGAAACCCCCACAGTGGGTCAGAACCTGAAGGAAACCCTGAATATAGATGTAACCTATCTAAAACCTAAAAAAAGACCAAAAAGGCCAAAGAACAAACAAAAAAGGGGTTCAAATGGCCAAAAACTGTAATGAAAAGACAAGAAAATTTAATAAAACCCTGAATCTAGATGTAAAAGATCTAAAACTAGCGACTTTTTCTGCTGCTCGTTTAATGAACCTGAAGCAGAGAAACTTTTCAGTTTTTATGGTTTCCTGTTTGAAGAGTAATTGGTTGTCATAAAAATATTTTTTGGGGGGTTTAGCTCAGTCAGACCTTCAGCCTGGATGCTAAATAAGCCTGTGTTCATGCACCTTTAGGGGCCTCAATGTGTATTTGTGTTTACTGTCAGCTGCTGTGATCTCACAGCCTGCTTCTCTAGGCAAAAAGCCACCAGAGTGGAAGCTTAGCTGCCGGCTTTTCTCATGTGTTCTGTGGTTAAACAGCGAGCTGCATCATCCTGTTGCTCCGCAGTGCAGCGGGGAGGTCAAAGGGGCCTCAGAAATAGAGAAAGTTCCCATATTGAGATGGGCCCGAGCAGAAAAGTAGGGGTCAGACGTGTCTTTTATGAGCGGAGAGCATCTCCCAGCCAATGGAGCATGTGGGAAAAAGATGTCAAAGAAAGAAGCGCCCTTCCCCTCTCTGGCAGCCGACTGGGGGCCGACCAACAGCACAACACAACGTCTCTGCTGCCTCGAATGAAAGGAGCTGCTCTGAAAGGCAGGGCAGGCGTGGGGGGGGGGTATAACGAGCAGCGAGCGGAGCAGCAGGATTCCTCCACTGGCCGAGCCCCCAGAGGACGGACGAGCCGGGACGCCTCCCCACATGCTTCATGCTTGAGCAATTGAGAAAAATAGCAGGTTTGGGTGGATTAAAATGAAGAAAAATTAAGAGGGAGGACACAGTGGATCCCCTTCTGCAGGACAATGGGGCGGGCCGGGTTCTCCGGGCCTCGCCGGGGATCAGATGAAGTCATTATTCATTCAGTCAAGGGGGCAAAAAGGACTCAATTACCTCCAGCTAAAGATGCTATCAGAGAATAAAAGTGCATATTTGCCTCCATTCAGGTCGGAGCCATTAGAAGTGAAAGGAGGGATTGGATCTGCCTGCCAAGCCCCGTCTCAACATGTGTGTGAAACCCGATGAGCAATCGCAGCCCTGGGACCGCCGGCCATGAATATGCATGGAGGCCACGGCACAGATCAGCCGGGCCCAGCTCCTCTGGGCCCGTTTGTTAGGACTCAACAAGCAGGCCAGGAGGGAGACGAGGGAGCAGGAAGCCAGGAACATTATGCGTTCATTAGGGGGGAAAACCAGGGGGGAAAAACCAAAACAACACCTAGACGCTAGAAATACAAACCCAAAAACCAGACAAGGAGGCAAAAGGACGACGGCCTGATGGCGGCACGCTTAGCATGCCTTTGGCATGTTCTTAGCGTGTGTTTAGCATGCGCACCGCATGCGTGTTGGCGTGCGCTTAGCGCGTGTTTAGAATGCGCTTCAAGTGCGTATGCGTGTAGTTACCATGTTCTTAACATGCCTTTGCCATGTTCTTAGCGTGTGTTTAACATGCGCTCTGCGTGCTTGTTGGCGTGCGCTTAGAATGCACTTCGCGTGCGTATGGCGTGTACTTGGCATGTTCATAGCATGACTTTGGCATGTTTTTAGTGTGCATTTAGCCTCTGCTTGGCGTACGCTTAATGTGCCTTTGACGTATGCTTGGCGTGCGATTAGTGATTGTATAGCGTGTGCTTGGCATGTGTTTAGCATGGGCTTGGCGTGCGTGTGCCTTGCATGTGTGTTGGCATGTGTTTGGTGTGAACTTAGCGTTCGATTGGCTTGCGCTTAGCGTGTTTTAACATGCCCTTGGCGTGCGTGTTGGCGTTTTCACGCTCCATCTGTGTGTGTGTGTGCGTGTGTGTGTCCGAGCTGAAAAACAGCAGCAGAGTGACGGCGCTCTGCTTTTATTGGGAGCTTCAGCAGAGTGGATCAGAGTCCTGTAGGATCGATCGGCTTCGTCCTCCGACGTGTCAGAGTGGATTATTGAAGCCTCGACGTATCGACGACAACCCCCCCCCTCACCCCCCCCATATCGGCACTTCTGACATCACCTCCTTGAAATATTGAATTCTTCTCAGCCGTCGAGCACAAAAGCGGCGGCCGCATCAGCGCACTTAGAAAAGACACCGCTGTCAAAACCTGGGAGATTCACAGGTGACGCTAAAGTCATTAAACGCACCCCCCCACCACCCCCGCCCGCCCCTCAGCCCTCCCTGCTGACTTCCTGCCTCACTTCGGGGACAAAGGGCTCAACAGGGATTCAGTGAGATCAACTTTCTGCTGAAAATGTCATTTAAACACTGCTTTTTGGCTAATTAGCTCCCCGTCCTGACCTTCAGCTCTGACAGGAGTTTATGAGCTCAGGCCCAGCAGAGTTTCAGCCACACGGTGCATTCAGGGGAGTGCTACAAAGATCTGGGTTTTAATCGATTTAAGTGTTGTGCCGACACAAAAATGATGGAAAACGACTTCCTGTTTGTGAGGTTTATGACGTCATGTGAGATTCTGATTCTTTTTATCTTCAGGTTTCTGTCATTAGCGGGATTTCAAACCTGCGTTTTTTTCCGTTTCAAGTCTGATTTAAGTCTGATGATGAACCTCTGAACACATCTGGCATCCATCGGGCTTTTCCCGCCGTGTCTGAGACACTTTATGTGTCCATAGAGAAGCTGAAGAAGCTTCTGCTTTTTGTGCTGGGAGCAGAGAAGCGGACTGGCTGCATCACCTTGTTCTTGGCGTAGGAAGTGTTCAGGACGCTGCGGGTCTCCTTTCCCGTGTAGATCACCACCCCGATCACAGTTCCTGCCAAACACAAGACAAGCAAAGTGATGCCACTCATTAACGCATTAACCCCCCCGGCATGCACACTGGGCCGGAAGATGAGCTGAAGGGGGGGGGGGACCAATAAGCCAGAGCCAGGGAGGAGTGGGGGGGTGGCCCTCATAACAGCCGACAGCAGTTCATGTGGAAGCTCATAAACTCCAATCAATACTTCACCTTCTTTATTTGCCAATTCATTATAGTGGCCTTATTACTGAGGATTGATGAGTCGTTAATATTAAATGAGCTTAATGGGAGAGCAGAGGCCGTAATGAACCCTGAACACAGACCCTGAAACCAGAACCTGCAGAGAAACCAGCAGCTTGTTTGCTGCTAACAAAAAGCCTAAAGATCCACATTAAACTGCTGCTCTGCTGATTGGACACAGTGCTGGCTCAGCCCTTGAGTTAGGGGCCTTTTTCTGGCTCAAGAAAGATTCAAATTGGACTAAAAATTAGTGAAAAAGTAGAAAATATCCCGACAAAAACTCTGAAAGGCCTCAGAAATCCTGGGTCAGTTTCACTAAAAAACCCTTAGAAAGTACGTCTGGTTGCTTTGAGGGAAAATAGAAAGAAATTAATGTTGGCTGAACACTTTTTAAACTAATATATCTCCTTCTGATCCACTTTAAACTGCTGCTCTGCTGATTGGACGCAACACTGGCTCATCCCTTGAGTTAGGGGCATTTTTTCTGCCTGAATGACTAAGAGAAAAAACACATTCTTCTGAAAACCCTCAGCTACGAGGACTGAAAACGAGAGAGAAACCCTGGAAGCTGCTGCTCAGAGACTCTTTGATGGTTAAAGAAAAGATTAGTTTATTATACATTTCTAAATAAATCTGTGGCACGTTATTTGAAATAAACCCGAATCCTTGGTTCACTCACCAGAGGCGACCACTGTGCTGGCCCACAGAGTGTTTTCAATGCTCAGGCTCTCGTGGATTTGTGGCTCTGTGTCTTCCTACAGGACAGAAACCACAGAAAAAGGCTTTCAAACAAAATAAACACACAGATTTAACTTCTTCTTGTCAGTCGTTTTTCTGTTTGAAGAAGACTCGATTGTTTCAAAAACAATTTTCAAATTAGAGGAAGACCTCAAAATCTACCTTAGAGCTTTTAATTTGACCTTTTTTCATCCTCCTTGTGTTTCTAAAGCATGTTAAGCTCCACAGGTTTTGTGAGCATTTATGAGACAAATAATGTTAATACGTTCAATTTTGGGGGGGTTTAGAGCTCAAAATCGACCTGAGAACTTTGAATTTGACCTTTTTTCCTCCTCTTTGTGTTGTTAAAACATGTTGAGCTCTACTGAAACTAATTTAATCTGAATGGGGGTCCATTCAGCCCCTGGAGAGCCTCCTGGTTGAGCCCGTTTCAGAGGCAGGAAAAACAAACGCTCGACCCGCTTGACTTTGGCCCGCCGCCGGCGCCCTGAGCTGCAGGAACAAAGCCGCCACATCCGCCTGAGCAGGGGAACCTCACGAGGAGGTAACCTCACTCAGATCTCTGGGAACCAGCTCGGGCTCAAAGCGGACGCTATGCAAAGGAAGGCCGGAGGATGAATGAGCCCAGGAAGCGCTGGCTGGCTCAGCCTGGTGTGTGGGCTGACAGAGGCCGGCCCACAAAGCCCCCCTTTGTGAGCCACCTCGCTCTAATCTGCTATTAATACAGGCGGTGGGGGGGG